GGGCGCCCAGGGCGCAGCCCTCCAGGCCCCGGACTACTACGTGCAGGAGACCTGGAGCCGGGAGCCCTACTACGCGCGCCGGGAGCCCGAGCCCGAGCCCTTCTCGCCGCCGCTGCCCGCGGGGACCGGGGACGGGGAGCGGGAGCCGCGCCCGCCGGAGCCCAGGCCGCCCAAGAAGGCGACCAAGCCCAAGAAAGCGCCCAAGAGGGACAAGTTGGCTCCGGAGACGCGTCCACCAGGTAAGGAACTTTGTGCGCGGGGCGGCCCGAGGGGGCGCCCGTGGCCGCGCGCCTCTCCCAGCGGCTGGCTGATCTGAGGGGACAGCTGGCTTCCAGGCCTGTGTGTCGGCGACGCCAGAGCCCGCGAACCCACCCATCGCGCCCCCCCCCACCCCCCGCCGCCTCCCGGGGGACTGCGTCGCGCATCCCTCTGGCCGCTCGGAACTTCCCGGACAGACACCGGTCGGCGTTTCCCCCGCAGGTGGAGGCGGAGTACGGAAGCTGCCTGCGGAGCTGGTGGCCCAGGTCTGAAATGGGCTGGGCAGAGGCTCTTTCCGCCCGACACTCCTAGTCTTCCTACACTTCTTGGGAGTGAATTTACGATTTGGCCACGTGAAGGGCTGGCGGGCTTTGGCACGACGGCCTTCTGGGGGGAAACTCAGCAATGGGCCTTTACCCAGCCAGCGCCCCTCTCAGCTCCCTCCCTCCCGCTTTCTGGGGGTCCCTGGAATCCTCTGCCCAGGTGGGGCAGGATGGCAGAGCCTCTGCTGGGGGGGCTCCTGTCTCCGTGGAGAGGGGGCGGGCTGCAGACGGAGGGAAAGCCCAGGGGGCCTGGCAGCCTGCAGTGCCCGCCTTCCATCCGTCCGCACACCCTTCTCCCATCCATGCGTCTCTGCCAGCCCTGTCTTGGCAAATGACTTCCATTCGGCTTCACTCCTTGTGAAGGGGAGACTTTTCTCTTAATTGTTCCAAATGTTCTTTGCTCAAATTGCGGAGGGTCCTAGGATTTCAGGACTGGGGAGTGAGCAGGATTGTAGCCAAATTCTCTGGCCCTGTGATGGCCTTCCTTGAAAGGAGATACATGCTGGTGGCTCCATTACACGGCTCCTGGCATGGAAGGAATTGCTTTTGTTTGGTTCAACTCTTCAGCAAGTCAGCAGGAGGCAGCGGGAGAGGCGAGGAGGTGGGGACACAGATCTCTTGAATGTGTGGACCCATCTCAGCAGCCGCTCTGCACATGTGTGGAGGTGGGGGCGCGTCCTGCCATGCTCCAGCTTGTGAGCGACTCTGCCAATGGGCAGGCAGTTCTGTGAGTTGTGTGACCCCCAACAGAACCATCCAGAATTTCCAGTATCTTCTGGGGAATTATGGGAACTAAGATGTGTAAAACCACAGCGGTTTAATAGCAGGAGTATGAAGAGACAGTCATGTTTGGAGAACATCTGCTGGGACTCGGTTAGGAGCTTCATGTGTAACTGTCTCGTCTAATTCTTCCAGTGGCTCTGAGGGGTGGGTGTTCTTTTTATTTTACAGATGAGGGACCGTAGGCGCTGACAGTTTAAGTAACTTAGTGTCACTTGCTGGCTTAGGAGATTTGAAAGCCCTTCTGTGCTTATTTTTAACTCAAGGCCTTTCTTGTTTGGTAGTTTGAATCAGATTTGCATGTGTTTTTGGTTTTTGGTATCTGCTGTGTGATTAGCGCAGTGCTGGGCATGGTGGGTGGGAGACACGTATGTGGAGTTCTGGTACTTGCTGGGGGGAGTGCAGGGGGAGTGTGGAAGAAGCCCCAGACTGAGTCTGAAGACCATACTTCATACCCAGGTCTGGGAGGTCAGCACTCAGTGTCCTGGGACTTGGTGTCTTCATCTGCAAAGGACGCCCGCACCTGCTACTTCTCTTTACTTGGTCAGGTGCTTTATTTTATTTTATTATTTTTTAATTTTTCAAAATGTTTTAAGGTAGTTACTCTTTATTTACTTATTTTTAATTAACATATAAGGTATTATTTGTTTCAGGGGTACAGGTCTGTGATTCATGAGTCTTACACAATTCACAGCGCTCACCATAGCACATGACCTCAGCTTTTCCACAAAAGCTTCCGGTGTGTCAGCTGATGGTTGTGCTAGTCCATCTGTGAGCCGTTCATTCGTTCCGCAGTTGGTTACCAAGAACCTGTTCAACGCCAGGTGCTGGGTGAGGTCCTGGGAATAGAGAGCGCAGGTCATCCCCTGCCCCTGTAGACAGCACAGAAGTTGGGGGGCTTTGAAAAAGGGATCACAGTTGTGCTGAGGGCTGGATTGCTAATCCCCAAACTGGAAAAAGGTTTTTGGAAATTCCAGAGACTCAGCTTCGAGGCCTCCTGGGATAGCTGCCTCCCCAGGCCTGCCACTCTTTCTAATGATCTGTGTGGGTTTTTAAGAGCCCACCACCTAGGACAATCAAAGTGGGACATTTATCCCAACTCAAAACTCCTGTCCTCTTTTTTCCCCATGTTTTTGGGTGTTTGGCCAGTGGAGCCCTCCACCCTGGACTCTTTTTTTTTTAAAGATTTTATTTATTTATTTGACAGAGAGAGACACAGCGAGAGAGGGAACACAAGCAGGGGGAGTGGGAGAGGGAGAAGCAG